TCAAAATTGTTCACCTTACTAAGATTTTTGCATTCACTGACAATAAAATTGCCAGTTGGAACTTATGAACAATAGAAGGCCATGGCCTGTATAGTAGTACAAAAACAAGATAAAATAGAAGTACAAGACACACAATGTTCTTTGATTGTATATCTGCTACGATTGTGTATCCGTTGTTTTAGCTGACTGACGCCAATATATCCAATATATAATGTTTCCCTGTTTTGTTCTGCCTGAATCTACCACCTGTTGTGAATAAACTTCCAGGTTGCTCTGGTGTGCAAAGATCCCTGCCTATGCGTCTGATTTTCGACACTCACTTTCTGAAGTTTCTGATGAAAAGTTCATCTTATTTGATATATTAAGTTGATTTGACTTTTAAGTTGTAGTGAACTTCTGAAAGTTCAAGTGGCTCACAAGATAGTTCCAGTTCCAACTGGAAATTTTATTGTCAGTGAATGCAAAAATCTGAGTAAGGTGAACAATTTTGAGTTGTCGTTTTTACAGTTCACCGAGCTATAGTGAGGTCAACTTATCTGCGTTTGCTCATTTAAATATGTGTTATGGCAACCAGCTGCATTCAACATTTTGAACAAACTAATTTGACCAAAAAAAATCACTGTATTTATTTTTACCAACCGTAATCGACAGGGCCAAGCCAAAGTAGCCCTTTATATTCTCTGGGTCAGTCTTAGAAACATTAAGTTTCCCCTCTGGTTCACAGTGTGTGCGGCACGGTGGCTGAGTGGATAGCACTCTCGCTTCTTGACACGAAGGTCCTGGGTTCGAATCCCGGTCGGAACAGGGCCTTTCTGTGTGGAATTGGCATGTTCTCTGTGTCTGCATAGGTTTCCTCCGGGTGCTCCGGTTTCCCCTACCCAAGTGACCTTGGTCCATGAAATGCGCTATATAAATAAACATCATGATCTTTTAATGTGGGGGCTAATTTAAACTCAAAATAGTAAGTTATTGTAGGGGACAGTAATCTGAACTTAAAAAAGTAAGTTTTTACAGACTTGAAATTTCCAGTAACTTGAATTTAAACACTTAGTTGGCAGAACTTGGAAAACTTAACTGACACAACTTAATAAGTGTATTCTTCAAAACTTGAAGAATTAAGTTAATGCCTTCAACTCAAAAATCCTTCGCAGCTGGTTGCTTTGAAATTTTGAGTTGAACTAACTTTATCTTTTTTACAGTGTGCATGGACCAGAAGTCCAATTAAAATAATGGACAATTGCTCCTGCAGCCCTGAACAGGACATGCGAGGTGCGCGGGTCGGCCCGAAACCCGCAGTCAACCCGCGGGTCCCGCGGTTTCGGGCGGGTTGGATGCCTCAAAAATATGAGTCATGTCAGGTGCGGGTGGGTCGGGTCAGAAAGCTCCTGATCCCTATATAATATTATATATGTGAGCCACGGTATGGGAGTCCCTTGAGTACATTTGCAATCGCGCAGGGAGGCTGTTAAACAAAAAAATCATGCTGACAAACAGGATCGCTCCTTCCTGACTCCCCGCTTAAAGCCTCAGAACACTCCAGTCCGAGGACAGACGTGTGATCTACACAGAGGCACCGAGACTGATGACGGTGTGGGCCTCACAGCAGAGGCCTAAAGCAGGGGCCTCATTACTTTAATACTTACAGTCTGTGGTAAATACACGGGCTACATGTGGTACACGTGCTTAGACTATATTAATATTGTATGTGTAACATTCAAAATAGATTGAGTGAATATTCCCTTTTCCTCATTTAGTGATTTGCGGAGGAGAGGAGAGGAGCAGCGAGAGAAGTTTGGCAGTTAAAATAAATGAATTACAGCTTGCTAAATTATTTGAAAGCATCTTCATTATGATTGTTATATTTATGTATTTATTATAAATGTTAGAGATGCCAGAGAAAAGGCGTCTGCTTTTTTCTGAGTGGGAGGAGACACCAGCGGAGCTGTTTGAGTCAGATAACGTTCAGCGTTATATTACCAATAGTTTCTCTTTCCATAACGATATTCTCTCTTTTTGGAAAGATCACCAACGTGATGCAAAAGTTTACGTTATATGCAGTAGTTTTAATGTCTGCGGGTTATTCCAGAGACTGGCCTGCTACAAGGAGTTGCCCGTTTAAACCAGATTGTCGATGTGCGCGGGGCAGAAACTCGCCAATGTAACCCTGCTCACAAGTGCCACCTGGTGGTTGTTTTGGTCATTGCAACGTCACTGGGAGGGGGGAAAATAAAAGACGCGTGAATCACACGTGAGTCTCGTGTGATTCACGCGTTAAAGGCGACAAAACGGAATGGGACCTACTGTATATGCTCGATACCAGACCAATGTGGTTCAGCCAAACACCTCTGGTGGAGCATGGAGGAACTACATGATTAAGCGGATTCGGCATCTCGCTGCGTGCAGAGTATGCTGTTCCGGGTCAAAGGTCAGGACTACCCAAAAATGTAAACATGGCCGAGTCTGACAAAGATATTGAATATTTTGAGCGTTGTAAAGTGGATGTTTTAAAAGAATATTGTAAGAGACACGGACACAGTGTTACTGGGAAGAGGAAGAAAGAACTGGTGGCCCTCGCTTGGGCATTGTCATTTCAAAAAGCGCCTATAGTTTTAACAAAACAGCAGGAACGAGAGGCTGTCAACCTTGAGAATATATCTCTGCTCGAGATCGATGTTGACAGTTGTCAGATGACAATTCCAGATCCCTTGCAGCTGAGAGAAGGTTGGGAGAACGAGTCGACAGCAGCAAATAAATGGCCCCCCTGCATGTACATAGATATAAATAACTATTTGACTCGCAAGGACGAGCTAAACTTGCTAACAAAACTTGCTAACGACTATTAAGAAGGTAACTTAATTTTAGCACTTTGTTCTACCACTCTACATTTATGCTAACTTCCCCAACCCCTTTATATATTAATTGATTTAAATTATATATTTGTGTTTTACTTCTATTATTGTTTCCCTTTTTAAATCACACACAGCAAATATATGAGTGTTAAAATGTTAGGGACAGTGTTGAATAATGAGTGTTGGTGTTATTTTAACACCACACAGTTATAAAATAGCAGTGCTAGTGTTGCTTGATACAGATTTGAGTTGTCAAATCATAGTGTTAAGTTTTTCACACAGTCAATGGTGTTGACGCAGATTTAAGCCACGCCCCTACGTAACGGCCGTCACTGACGTGATCTAGACGAAAAACTTTCATCTGCGCCATTTTCTCTCACGGGAATTTGCGATTCGGTAGAGGTAAGTGCTTAATTTGACTGTTTGACTGTGTGACTGGGTATTCAGGTCAATAAGTCTAATATGCAAACAACCTGTCAGTTTTATATTGTAGCATCAGGTAATAGCTAGGTTATAGCTAATATTTGAGCATGACCCTCTCATGTTATAACGTTGGTGAACGTCTGCTCCCTAATAATGAAACTAACCTACTGTGTAAACGGGAGTATATTGTTGGACTTAAATAGTGACGTTATTAGACAAAAAATGCTAGTTAGAGTTGAAAGCTGAAATTTGCAGTTTGTGGCGGGAGCAGTACCCTAACGCAGTATTAAAAACTACATATCCCATGAACGTTAGCGGTTTCGCAGTCTATCGCCATTCGAGGCCTGGAAAAAGCGGAGTTTTCTTTCGAAGTGTCTTTCCAACCTTTCCGAGTTTGTGTAGTCACAGCCACAGAAACTACGATAAAAGGTAAAGGAAGAAAACGGGTGGCATTCTGAGAATGTAACGAGAGAAGGCTTGGTAATAATGATTGTTGCCTAGTTAGCTAAATTAGGAAAGATTTGGCGAACAGGGGAAACTTAATATGATTGTAGCACTTAGAATAAGTGTGTAAACTGTTGCTTACTATTTCGTAATTGCTATACATACTATTTTAAATACATAGACAAATATATGTTAATTAATGTAGTAGCTAACGGTATTGTGTTGTAATATATCAGTTAACGGGGAGCGCGTGAGATGCCGGGGAGCGCGTGCAGACCCCTGGTAGTCAAGTCGAATATAATATTTAATACAATACGAAAATGTTCCCACTGACCATCAGTCAGATATTTCAAATAAATATAGATTAACATATTAGGGCCTGGGCTATAACACGGGAAGATTATCAATTACCCAAAAATAACGAGTTAAATAATGTACGCATTATAATTGCACGTAATTTTGCACCGGAACGTTATTTTCTGGAAAAGAATTCCGGCGGACTCATTTTACGTGCGTTCATGACTTCAGACGAAAACAAACTTCGGTAAACATGAGCTTTGGTTGGCCCCGTGGATGGGGATTTTGGATAAAAAATGAACGGATGGAAGTGTCTATAAGAGCACGGTTGGGTGCAAGCTTTGTAATTAGGATTTCGCATATCACCGCAGCAAATTCAGCCGCAACTAGCGTGGACGTTAGCTTGACCCTGAGTACAAGGACCACTTTCCACTACGTGACTGGTTTAAGGACCAAGGTAACGGCCTGGACCTCTGTAGACCATTTAACTGTAGACAACTTGGAGTGGTATAAAAAAAAGAGGCTGCAAAATGTGCTATATTTTCTTCATGTGCTGTTAACTTAATTTAAAAAATGCGCTGGTCTGCTGTACTCTGTTGAACAAAAAAATCAAATCATTTTCTTGCTTAAGATGATGTAAGTAGTTATTTTTCAATGGTATAGAAACAATACATGATTCATTTAAAACAAAGTCTCTAATTCAATTTTTTATATTGAGTCCTTTCCCTGATAGATATTTTTAATAAAGACTGTTTAAGGAGTAGTATTGGGCAGATAGGCTCAGGTCAATATGTAAGACTTTGATCCTATCCTGCACTTACAGGCTGTGCTTAATGCCATCAAAACTAGATCTAAATCTAGTAAAAATGGGATGAACTGAAATTAGGCTTTTCCGTTTCCTGTAAATGTTTGAACCATGTGAATGTTATTCTTAATCACTGTCTGAGATTTGTTTATTCATGTATATTTTATTTTTTTATCAAAGAAATGCTGGTTCAAGTGGAGTGCAAGGGTGTCCTGAAATGGGTTCGGGTACCAATGAAGGAAGACCACTATGATTACTTTCAATTCATTCAAGAAGGTAAAACTACTGTATAATCTGTGGTTCATCGTTTGGAAATTACATTAATTGTTTTGGATCATAGTTTCAGCTAAATTCAACCTGATAAATGAATCTGATGTGGCCCTGAAAGACTCATCAAGAGTTGATGTAGATGCTGACATTTTTGATGAGTTGGTGAGATCTGCTGCAGTGTCTTTCAAGGTGTTCACTGGGGAGTCTGGTAAGACACAGTGACATGATAATACAGAGTGTAGTGGCATATAAGGCGCACTGTTAAAATTAAAAGCTTTTATGTGCGCCTAATATGGTATCAATAGAAACATTATTTGTTTTCTTTTTAATACAAATATGATTTGCAATATTGGTAATGTTGCCTTATGTAACATATATTCTCCAACTAAAGTTAAATACTATTAAACCTTTATTCCCTTAGCTGAGAAAGAGGTCTCTGAGGCTTCCTTCTGCTCAGATGAGGGGTCATCCTTATCCAGTGTGTCTGTGGAGTCATTCTCATCACTTGACTCTGTGAGTTCAGGCTCCACTATAATTACTCAAAGCACTAAAAAATGGAGAAGGCAACTGTTAGAAGGACCGCCTGACAGTAAGGCAGCGAAAGATGTAAGTAGTTCTAAGATTGTCAATAGGATGTCAAAACATTTTCAAAATGCATTAGTTTACATAAAACTTCTCTATTACAGATGGTCTATGTAGCTCTACATCAGAAACCTGGAGGTGAAGACGTATTGAAAGAGTACAACATGACCAAAGGCCTTTCTGATCAAACGAGAAGGAAACTCGTTAACATCGTGGTGGCTGATATGATTGAGAGTCATGGGTAAGTGATCAATTAAATACCATGGATTCTCTGAATGTTTTAATGATCTTATTTGCTATATATGTTTATATCCCCATTGTTTTTTCATATTTATTTCAAACATTTCTATATCGTTTCATTTCTTTCCCTTCTGAAAGACTGATGCTTTTTTAAATATTGTAGTCTGCTTCATAACTGGAACACTTCAAATATCTGTTACTCAGTTCTCAAGTTTTTACCCCAGGCATGTAAAACTTATTTAAGCTAAATTTCAAATTGATTCTCTTGCTTTGGTGTAGGAGAGTCCCACCGCTCAATGTCCGTGTGTCCTATGCCCTTGGAATAGTCACCCTTTTTCCCAATTTGAAGGATAAGGCGTCACCAACTGGTTATGTGAGTATTACAGGAAACTGTTATTTGTTCGTATGTAGAAGCTTTATTTTGAAGTCCTGATACAGTCATCAACTTTGATGGATTTGAATATTGACTCTACCTCTTGTCTGATAGGAACATTACTATGATCCTCGCAGTGGCCAAGGTTACTTGGCCTATAGACTCAAGACAGTCCAGCGCAATACAATGAGTGATTCCAAGAGGACCTCCCCAGACCTGTTGTCTGCTGAACAATATGGCCCCAAGACCCTGCGTGAAACATCGACATCAGAACAGCTGTCTGGAGATGAATGCAGAGAAGCAATATCTGCAATGAAGCATTCAGCAGACCAACCAGTTGTGAAGGAGAAGATGAAGGCAACTTTCAAGCATCGTCAGAGCATGCTACATGATCCAGACCAGTCTTCAGCCATCCTAGATCACTTTCCCAGATTTCTGGATACACCAGGTTTGGTAAGAGAAATGGAGAGAAGATTTATATTCGGATTCTTAAATGTGTTGTGTACCCACCAGGGAGGGAGGGGGGTTATTAGAGAGAGAGAGATGGCAGAGAGGGGGGGGGTGAGAGCAGAGAGGGGGACAGAGCAGAAGGGAAGGAGCCAGAGCAGAAGGGAAGGAGCCAGAGCAGAAGGGAAGGAGCCAGAGCAGAAGGGAAGAAGCGAGAGCAGATGGGGACAGAGAGCAGAAGGGAAGGTGTGCAGGGCAGACAGGGACAGAGAGAGAGGAACAAAGACAGGGGGAGCGAGAGCAGGAGGGGGACAGAGAGCAGGGAGGAACAAAGACGGCAGCGAGAGCAGGGGGGGGTGCAGCGAGGGCAAGCAAGAGCCGATAGAGGGGGAGCGAGAGAGCAAATAGAGGGGGAGCGAGAGCAGACTGAGGGGGACAGAGACCTTTTTGTCTGAAATGGGGAACACTGGTACCATGTTTTGACATGTTTTCTGTCTTTGTTAGATTAACCAAGACTTCACGTTGTTGTTGGGAGAGGACACTTCAGGAAAGTTTATTTCAAAATGGCCAACATTCTACAAACCGAGGATCATCAGTGTCTGCAAATGCCTTCGCCCTGGTCCCCATGTGGATGACCTTCTGTCTGCTCAAGAGGGATCTAATGATTATGGTAAGTTGGCTATTGTTTGCCAGAACTGTGACTGTGTATACTCATGGGATGTGGGTGTTGTCATTTTAATCCACTAGGATGGGACAGTGACTTGGCCGCTATCCTACTCCTGGTTCATCTCCTGCCTCCAACAAAGAAGGGGAAAAAATTTGGGAGAATCAGTGCAACTGACGCCACTGACCATGTGGTCAAGTTCATGAAGGTACGTTCAGGACATAAATGATGACTGAATATTGTTTTGCCTCTTAACACTTAACTTGCTATGATTTGTCCCTTTTTTGGTCAGCTGTGCGTAGCTCATTGACTGCCATAGATTTATTATTACGCGAATTGAAAAAAAGAAAGGTTTTTCACTATTTTCTGTGTGTTTGGGGTTTGGCTGTAGACCGTGTTTTATTGTGCCAGCAGGTGGCAGCAGTGCTCTGTGGGTGTCTTGGTCAAAGTTTAGTGTCTGAGCGCTGTGAGCAGGAGAGACTGAGGCAATACAAGGCAGGAGGACTACAGCCAGGGAAAAGCTTAGTTTGAGCAGTAAAGGTTTTTCTAGAACTGACAAGAGACCATGTGGAGGATCAGAGCAGCAGACCAGCGGTTCACCCCAAAAAAAGCAAAAGAAAAGCGGATTATCGCTCATGCTATCACTGAGCTTGCAGCAGGAGTAAGCAGAAAAGTCCGGCCATCGTTACAGCTGGCTCCTTGTGTGGGCTCAGTGATGGTATTAACTCATTCACTGCCCATGACGACAAAAGTCGTCATGTTGAATAGTGACGCTCACTGCCCATGACGAGTATGACGAGTTTTTCGTGTTATTACACGGGAGGCTGCAGTAATGTCTGGCGCACCTTGTGAATGACCCACAACACTGTATATAGTGCAAATGTACCTGTAATGATAAATCACCACCAGTAGGATGCAGTATTGCACCACAGGAGAGGTCATAAGTCAGTGGAGAGAAGGAGGAGGAGTGTGGGGTCTTTGGACAGCGTGCTGCTGTAGCAGAGCGATGATAGCGTAGCATTGAGACAGATCAGCGATCTAGTTTAGCAATAGTATAGTAAGAGTGATGGCGAAAAAGAATAGTTATAAGCAGCTGACACTGCTTCAGAGATTGACTCGCGGATCAGTGAGTGAGGTCGAGAGAGAGTGGAGACCCCGGTGGAGGTCCGTCTCTGCAGCCACATTTGCGCGGAGCAAGAGCCCCGAGCAGAGACACACCCTCCGCCTCTCGCAGCGTATCAGCTGCTGTTGTTACTGATGCCTCTCGCAGCGTATCAGCTGCTGTTGTTACTGATGCCTCTCGCAGCGTATCAGCTGCTGCTGTTACTGATGCCTCGGATTCGTTCAGCAAACCTGATCATGATTTATCGGACACACTCACAAACACTCACACGCACTCACTCACTCACTCACGCACACAGACACTCACTCGCACACAGACATTCACACACACAGACACTCATTCACACAGACACTCACTCGCACACTGACACACACACACACACACTCAAATTCACATGCTTCATTCTATTTTATACATCTATAGTTTTATTGATCTTTGTGTTGTTGTTGTTCGACGTTTTGGTTAAATTTTAGTTAAATTTTCTATCTGTGAATAAATTGCCAACAATTTGCCATCAAAAGTATTATTTCAGAGTCATGTTTTTATAATTTTTGTAATGGAACAAGTGTGAAGATGTTTTGAGTTGTCACTAAAGCAGCAAAAATGCATCTAAAAGTCTCTTTTCTGCTTGATATGTTCCTGTTTACATACAGCTCCTTTTCTCTGTTTTCTTGGTGTTATGGGTGAAAGTATGCTTTGTTCTATGGCGAATAACGCAAGAACGGTAAGAGGTAGAAACAAACTGTTTTTTTCAGAGTAAAGCAGAGAGGTTAATTTAATTTGGTGCCCTTGGTGTTTACATCGTCTAAAAAATGAATATTCTGTGGCACTTCAAAGTTGGGTCAAATCACCTGAAATTGCTGGCAGAATGCACTTCTCAAATCTGAAAATGCCTGACAGTCAGTGAGTTAATGATTGTCCGCTTTTCTGTGGCTTTTGGGGTGCAGCGCTGGTCTGCTGCCCTGACCCTCCACATGATCTCTGCTAGCTCTAGAGTCACCTTTACTGTTCAAACTGCCTCCAAATGATGCCTGCACCTCTCTGTATTCTTCCTGCCTTCCATCGCTCCTCTCTCTCCTGCTCATGCGTCCTTAGATCAAACACCCACAGAGTCCTGCTGCCACCGTTTGGGTCAATCAAAAAACAGTCTACAACCAAACCCCAGACATGCACCTGAGCAAGCCCGGGTATGTGTGTGTCTGGTGCAGGTCTCCTGTTCCTTTAGAGACGAGCATGACTTTCTGCCTGGAGTTGGTTGGTTCCAGGCAGGGCCACCATTTGTCTGCCCTTTTTCTATGCGTCTTCAGTAATTAAAGTAGTACTAGAATTTACCATGCTGCTATCCAGAATATATAACTACAATATGTGTTTATAATATTTTGGGTGTTCATTTTGACATGTTAAGATTAATTATGTTAAAAAAACTGCTTTGAAGTCGCACTTTTTCACAAACGCTAGAGGGCGCCAAAATTGCAGGGATGACATAGGAGAATGATCCTTTTCACAGCAGTCATGGCTGGAATCTGTATGAGCAGCGAGTTAATTGATTAATCTGGGGGAGAATCTGAGGTTTCACTGTCATCTGAACAAGGTATAAACATATTTTCATCAGTTTTGTACATAATAGTGTGCAACTCTTAAGCTTTTTTAGCCTTATATGTGAGATTCAAGCTAATTACTTGCCCTTACGGTCCCCGGACAGTGAAACCTCCGATTCTCCCCCAGATTCATCAATTAACTCGCTGCTCATACAGATTCCAGCCATGACTGCTGTGAAAAGGATCATTCACCTACGTCATCGCTGCAATTTTGGCGCCCCCTAGCGTTTCTATGCGGAAGTTGTTATAGAATTATATACCCCATGAAGGAGAAAACTCAAAAATCCTTTGTCTGATCAAAAGCGTAAGTTTATTGTTAACACACGTGCGGAGAGCTCATACACACAAAGGCAGCATGCATCAGCTCTGAGCGCCGGGCCCCGAGTTTCCTGTATTACAAGACACACACGAAAGCCAGTCCCGCCCACAACAGATGGGAGGGGGGCCACCGGTGCAGGAGGCGCATAGGGATGCAAACAGGCTGCAGGATGTAGAAAGTGCACACATACAGACCGATACATATGCAAGAGGTGAAAGGGGGCAAGAGTGATCGCCATTGTCTGTAGGTGTCGGGGGGGGCCCGGCTCCTTCCTGGCAGCAGGGACATATGGATAGGAGCAGGCATACAGATTCAAGATACGAAAGACACAAGGGTGTGACAGACAGCAGGGGCCCTCACAAAGCTCAGCATGGCGTCAGAAGGTCGTCTCTGCCTTGATAAAAGGCCTTTGACGTCCGTGTATTAGCTGCGGCTGGTTTTATGTAATTACTCCAAAAACTGTCACCACACTCCCCTCTTTTGATAATTCAAAACCATTTTTGCATTAATCAGTTAAATACCAGAGGCATCGTAATCACACCACCTTCAAGCTTCAAACACTTAAATTATTGCTGTCCAAAGTGGACAAGAAAAGAAACATGCTTGTCAATAAAAGAAAGAGCACATTATAATAACACAATGGATCCGGACAGCGATAAGAGAAGACAATATTAACATAATAAACACGGTCAGCACGGAAAGTAGTGTCAGTGTGGCCAGCATAACAGTCCAAGGGCCCATGCCGGTCTTAGCCGGGCTACGTTCGGTAGTCTTTTCCGCGGGAATACTCACGAGCAGTGCCGTCTCGCAGTCAGTGGCACCGCTCCCTATGAGCGTGTGTGGAGCGTTAGTGGTCATGGCGATGTTTGGTCTTGGAGCGGCAAGACTCTAATTGCGTTGAAGCCTTGGCCTCAGCACTCGGTTGGGCAGAGTGCTCGGGGTTTGGGGTGTGGAGACCATGGCTTGAGCACGCTCCAGATCGGCCAGGCCCAAAGCTCGTTTGATGGGAGACCTCATGACAGCACGCTTCACCATGTGCCTCATCAGGAACTGTAGAGCAGCCCTCATCTCCACCTCCTCCGGACACACGGGAGACGAGACACCAGGGGGCACTCCAGCAGAGCTCAAATCTGCATTATGGCCAGAGGGAGCAAGCTCTGGAGAAATCTTTGGAATGGGCAGCAGCTCTGCATACTTGCTGCAGCTGGGCAGAGCGCTCAGGGCCTTCATGGCTCCCAAGCCTTGGGATCCGGGGGCTGGGGAGTTGGGCAGAAGGGGGGTCGCCTCGGGAACGCTGGGATTCTCTGGGTGTTGTTGTTGGCCTGCTTCACCGACGGTGGCCGCACGCCGGCCAACTTCTTCAGCGTAGGGAGCCGCGGATGGGCCTGGTCCGTCCGCGCCCTCGGTGTCCTCGTCTATGGCCCTCAGTGGCAGCACCGCACGACAGTGGTTGGCGTGGATCCAAGTTGTCCTCTCGCGACCTTAACGGCAGTGTCCGTCACCAGGAGGGCGAGGAATGGGCCGAGCCAGCGCTTGGACCGCCAATGTTGTCGTCTCGTTTCCTTCACCAGGACCCAGTCGCCTGGCTTGATCCTGTGCAGAGCCGCCTGCGCAGCCTGTGGCAGGGCGCTCCTGACCTGGGCAGAAATAGAGGACAAAAGTGCATTAATTTCCTTACAATAGGACAGCATGTCGTCATCACACAAAGAGGTGCTTGGCAGATCTCTGTTCGGGGGTCCCGCGCCCAACGTGGGGCTAGCGGCAGAGCTTTGAGTGCCATTCTCTCGCTCGCACGTGCCTCCGGACCAGGGGGCGTAACTGCAGTGTTTACGTATATCAATGCCCAGAAATTCACCCACTTCCTCAAAGACTTTTGCTACAAAGTGACTGCCATTGTCCCTAGAGATTTTCCCTCGGGACACCCCATCGTGGCACAATTTCTGTGAGCAGAGCTTTCACCACCGCGTTGCTCGTGGCGTGTATGCCTGCAAATACTTCAGTCCATTTGGACCAGAGATCCGCCAGACCCAGACAGTATTACTTACCTTGGCATGGTGTGAGTTCAACAAAGTCCCTTTGGACATGTTGAAATGGGCGCAGGGGCGGAGGATGAGCAGCCTGTTGGATACTTTTGGGACTTACCTGGGTTGTGCGCGAGGCATATAGCGCATGTTTGGCTGAATCTCTGTGCAAATGCCGTAAACCCCTTTGTATACCAATTTTGTGTGATTAAATCACACATCATCCCTCCTTTTGAGGCATGGTCTCGACCATGTGCTAAAATTGCAAACTGTCTGAAGAAATGCCGTGGTAGGCACGGTTTGCTGTCTGGTCCCAGCCACACACACCATGCCGTCGTTGAGCCCCATTCCCCTCCCACAGCAGCGTCTCTGCTGGAGTAGAAAATATCAACGTCTTGAGTGAGGTAGTGTGTGTGTGTGTGTAGAGGTGCGTATGCCGCTGCCTTGTCCGCGCGCCGATTCCCTGCAGAGATGGGATCAGTGGCATTAGTGTGGGCCTGGCATTTGCATACAGCGATCTCTAAGGGCAACATTACAGCTCTCAGCAGACGTTCAACCTGTGTGGAATTAAGAATTGGTTTACCATCAGATTTCATAAAATTGCGGTGTTTCCACAGTGCTTCCCAGTCGTGCACCACAGAGAAACCATAACGCTTATCACAGAATATGTTAACAGTTTTGCCCGCTGCCAGCTCACAAGCCCCGGTGGGCGCGACCAATTCAGCGGTTTGTGCTGAATGGTGGTGGGGCAAACTACCAGAGTCTATAGTATCAAAATCAGAACACACAGCATAGCCGACTCGGTTCTTCCCAGTGTTGTCACGTGACGCGGCTCCGTCTGTATAAAAAAAATCAAGTCAGGATTAGTCAGAGGCGCCTCTTTCAGGTCTGGCCTGGGAGTGCATATCTGTTCTATTGTGGCGATACAGCAGTGTGCCTCCCCTTCCTCTGGCGTGGGCAGCAGCGAGGAGGGGTTCAGCTGTGTGCATCCCTTCACCGTAGTTCAAAGAGCACCGTGTTGTACCCCAGCCAACGAGCCGCAGAAAGGCGAGAGGCCCTCTGCTCTAACAGGATCAGGGAAACAGCATGGGGCACAAGCAAAGTTAGTTCAGTGTATCCCACAAGGTCACGTGATGCTAGGGCCGCTTTCTCAGCGGCAGCCACAGCCCGCAGGCAGCGAGGCAACCCTGCTGCCACGGGATCGAGTTTTGCTGAGAAGTAAGCAGTGGGTCTCAGTGGCCCTCCGTGAGACTGCAAAAGTACCGACACCATGCACCCACATCGCTCATCCACAGTCTGAGTGAATGGCCGTTGGGTCAGGGAGACCTAGTGTGTGTGTGTAGATTTGCTGTTCCGTTCATCTCCAGTTGCTTTTCTCCCGGATCGTTCTTAATTCATATTGTGGGCTTTGGTGCCAAGGTAGAGGCTCATTTCCTCATGATCCATACTACTGTCATCCCTGAAGCAGGGGTAGTTTATCTCTCATCTGAAAAAGAAATATTAGAACACAAAAAACACAAAAAATGCCCACTTTCGCTTGTCAATCTTTTTTCCAATTGGGCAAAACATAACTGCATTGACAGACGGTGTTTGGCATCAGGGCGGAGGCTGTAGCCAAATACAGAACAACAAAATGTATGTTTCTAATTTTATACTCCCCTAAATGTGAGTTTACAAACCAAAGTTGTCCTCCGCCCAATGACCGCTCACTGCGGTTGGACCGAATCACTGTCAGGACAAACAGCAGAGGGAGGAACTCCCAATATCTTCAGCGAGGTATTTCATCTCCGAGTACTTTCCGCAGAGTACTTTTCTCAGAGTACTCATCCCAGAGTACTCTCACTTTTACACCTGTTCAATAAAGGTCGTTATCTTTGAATCTCTAGTACTTACACCGTATGCTGTTGACAAAAAAGAATTATTCCATGATCACATTAAAACATTACAGACACATTTGTTATTCCATTCTCCGTTCAGCACTCCTCATTTCACTCCACACTCACATCACACTCATATCACAGTCACATCACAGGCCGATTCCCCACGTTAGTATTGGTCCAGAGTTTGTTAAGGTCAACGTAGTGTACTTTGACATGACACACAAACATATAACATACACAAAACATATAACATACACAAAACATATAACACACAAACATGTAACACACACAGAAGGCCTGTAATTTTAGCTTTGTCATATTTTCCATGTCCAATTACAATTGTCTCATGAGCTATTTATATTGTTGCAACTTTCAGAGCCTGCAGAACATGCAAAGCTTTTTAAGAGATTTTTCCTAAAAAAAAGAAATCCATTTCCAACTTTAGTGTTTACCACGTGGTCTGTAGTCGGGCTTATCACAAATGGTGTCCCC